TGACCAACAAGTTATAGGTACATGAGTCCAAAAATTATGGAATAATCCTACCAATTTTGGAGAGTGAAAATGCAAATCATTTTTGGGCACTTTCTCCACTCTTGTTTGTGTTATGAAAAAAAATCAAAGGAAGTTAGAAAGACATATGTTTGTCATGCCAAATTTATTTGTATGCTTATTAGAAAAGCAAACAAAGGTATTTTGAAGAGAAGCTATCTAAACATGTAGTTGCTGATTTTTGAAAAAGAAATTTAAGTGTAAATTTATAACTAAAGAATATGCATTCAACCTTTTTCTTCTAGGCATGGCACTAAGTATTTTGGTGGGTACATATTTTGCCCAAACTTGGTCTCTTTCATTCATCCAATGTGGAACTCTTCTTATGAGAGTAGACTGAGAACTAACATGTTGGCTCCATATTGGACATTGTACATGTTGAAGTATTAAGATTTCCCACTTACAGGTCAGAGATCTGAAACTGAGAATAGTTTGTTGTTCAAAGTCACTTAGCTATTTTTCACCAGTTTTTTGCAAGAATTGCAAGGATGCAAATCCAGATCAGGGTCACATTGAGTCTTATAAGTACATGCCACACTGAAGCCCCCAAGAGGACAAAGAGATGAAAAGAGAATGAAAAGTGAAGAAATAGGCTCACCAACATCTTAACAAGCTGAATTTCATCAGAGAAAGGGTTTATGGGGCATGAGGAGATAACTAAGGTAAAAGTTAAAACAAGGCCAGATCCTAGATACCATTGCAGAGGCTAGACCCAGGATGTTCCCCAACCATTTCTATACTGCTTAGACCCAATGCACATTTTGAAAGATTGCTTTCACTCTTAAATATTTAACAAAGGATTCTTAGCTAAGTATAAACTTGGATATACTCTCAATTTACAATTGCTTAACACCCTCATATACATGGACCCTTACTAATAAGCACTCTTAAAATCTGAGGCTGCTTTGACTTTCCCAAAATCCTCCTAAAAATAAGAAAGTTGAAATAAAACGGATATGTTGTTGTTATGTGCTGTTGAGTTGCTTGCAACTCATAGTGACCCCATATACAACAGCCCTAAACTCTGTTCTGTCCTGTGCCAATCACATTGTCTCTGATACACCTATCCTGATGACCTCAGTCACTGAATCAATCCACCTCATAGAGGGCCTTCTCCTCCTGTGCTGTCCCTACACCCTATCAAACATGATACCCCTCTCCAAGGACCGGTCCCTCCTTACAACATGTCCAAAGTATGTTAGACGAAGCCTCAGAATCCCTGCCTCCAAGGAGCCACCCGGTTTAACCCTCTCCAGGACACATCTGTTTTTTTTCTTAGCAGTCCATGGTACATTCAACACTCTTCTCCAGCAACACAGCTCAAAGGCATCAATTCTCCCTCTATCCTCTTTAGTCATTGTCCAACTCTGATGCATAACAAGTGATAGCAAAGACCATGGCTTATATCAGGCACACCTTAGTCTCCTGAGTGACACAATTGTTCTTCTTCAGTACTTTGGAGCGGTCCCTAACAGCAGACTTTCACATCACAATATGCCTTTTAATTTCCTGGCTACTGGTGCCAAGACAGTTGACTGTGGAGCCAAGCAAACTGAAGCTGTGAACAATCTCAGTCTCTTCAGCATCCATCCTGATGCTGTCAGTTGGTCCAGTGGTGAAAAACTTTGTCTTCTTGGCATTGAGCCTCAATCCATATTGAAGGCTACAGTCCTTGACCCTCTGCACCAAGCGCTTCAGGTCCTCCTCTGTTTCAGCAATCAGGGTTGTGTCATCTGCATAACGCAGACTGTTGATAGATATTCCATCAATCCTGACCCCACATTTCTCCTCATAGAGCCCAGCCTCCTGGATAATCTGTTCCGCATACAGGTTGAAAAGGTATGGAGACAGGACACATCCCTGGCATACACC